CTGCAATCTGCATCATCAGTTTGCCGTTTTGGTTGATGTTAGGAAGTGTATCATTGTGAGATTAGTACCACATTTATGGTGATTAATTATTGAATATTATTTTTCCGAATAGGTAGGTAGGTATTTGCAAAATTGTTCAGGGATTGGGAAAAATCAATAATTATGACCTGGATCAAAGATAATTCTATGTTCCTACTGTGCTTCATTATTGATCAGCTTACTATTTACTTTAGTTTGTAATTTATATTTATTTTAGGTTTTCAGTTTATATTAACTTAATTATATCCTTACAAATTTTTTCTGTTGGTCCCTGAATACATATTTAATCTATCGAAATTTATATATATAAAAAATTCATACAATTATTAAACCAAATCCAAGAAATTTTTCTCTGTGTACTCCAACATTGACGATATGTGGCTTTATGGGATTGTTTTTATTAAACTACTTACTATTGACTTTCATTCTTGTTGGTGATGATTTAACATTTTGAAAAATAGTTCTTTAAAGAACAGCACTTTTTTGGATTGAAATTTGATGTTTTGAGTAATAAATTCATTATCTTAAAATTATTCCATTGCATTGGCAATGCAAAAATTGAAAAACCTTGATGCTAAAACACGACCATAAATCAAATAGCGAACTTGTTGTGGTCATTATTAACCCAATTAATAAATTGCTAGCCATAATTAAAACAGTGTTTCCCACTTGAAAGGTCGAGCTAAAGGATTTCCCGAGAAATTATATTTTGTTAAAGTATTTTGAAAAATGCGAATAAAAATAAATTACATATTTGATAAACTTGGACTGAAGAACATTTTTACAAGAAATATAGGTATATTAAAAATGAAAAATTAAAGATATTTTTACCTGAAGAATTTATATGAAAAACTTTCGTATCAAACAGGGAAACATTCATTCGGGACGTCAAATAACTAAGGTAATTTCGTCCAGGCATAGACATATTACTTTTTCGATCAGTGAGTAAAGTCATGAATTTTTCAAATCAGAGTTTATCGCAGAAAAGTTTTTGACTCCCAGTGAAACCGAATTGCAATTTCCAATGGTTGTAGGAGTTCATTTAGTTTATAAGATGACATTTCATATAGTTGCAAAAGGACTTTTATATTTTTTAAGATTTTATAAATATTTTTGTTTGCAGCTATAGGTACCTAATTATTAAAAATATAATTATAAATTTTACAGTTTGGTTTTGTGATATCGATGGTTATGTGACAAAACATCGTAAGCGACAATTTTGTTAAATTACCTTTTATTTCATCAAAGTGTCAGTTACGATAAGCTGCACATGTTAACAAAATAGTTATCCCAATTTTGGAATCTAATATTGGTCAGAATGAATATTTTTATTATTGTAAGCGCCTCTTCTTTTTAATTTGTTACCGATTTATAACGTAAGCGCCTATATGTTCCCGACAAATAATCGTAAGCAACTCCGAGACATGGCGTTTGCGATTTAACATTGTGTCGCTTACGATAATGTGCTCCCGCCTTGATCTATCAAGGCGTTATTCCCGATCTAAACAGTTTATTCGTGAGTATACCTGCATCGCGGTGATTGCTACCAAGTTTTAAAACAATATTTTATTTAATCAAAAGCTTATAATTCCTTTTCTTCATTGCATTATTAATAGTTATCCTAATTATAATTGTTTTTACGTAGTGTGTTTCGTTAAATTTTAACTTAAAAGTGTTTTTTATAGTAATTGTATGTTGTTTGAGCGTCAAATAATTTGACTCAAATTTATAACGGTTAGATCATGGTACCATGGCCATGCATGGGTAAGATCATGGAGCCTACACAAGGAGTCCGAACATCATGTAAACAAGAATCTTAATAAGATAAGAGGGCGCTGGTGTTCCGTTTATTCTGAAACAATTGTTTAATTTGTACCGAAACGCTAGCATCGACAATCAGCGCCGCTGGTGGTGAAAAAAAAAACTTAATTTGTACAATTTAGAGGGAAGATTTTGTCAATTTTCGCTATTAAGTTCGGGCTCCTTGTGTAGGCTCCATGGGTTAGATACTGGTTTGTGAATAAAAACGTTCGTTTTTTTCAAAGAAAGCTAATGTAGAATTTCATGTTCAAACATTGACAAAATATCGTTGGTGATATTTTTATAATTTAAATTTTTTGTAATTTTTTTTTATTCAATAAAAGTAAAAAAATAAATACGATGTTTTGACAAAAGTAATCATCAACTCCCACAAAGTAACGTAAATGTAACTTAAGCGACAAGACTAATTTTACATTTTCCTAAAGATGTTCTTATAAAATATCGTATGCCACAAAATTTAATGACAATTTTATATTGGATTCGATCTTAATTAAATATTTGAATTCTACATTAATAAAATAATGCCCCACCAGTTTTCAGATAAATAATAAAAATAAAGCTACCACACAAAAAAAATCTCTCCTGTAAAATTTAGGTTTTGTCGCTTACGATGTTTTGTCAAATAACCATCGATTCAAAACGCTTCTTTGACCTTGAAGGGAGCGCGTGACGTCACAATGTTATAAAAGATGAGTCAAGAATTACGAATAAATCTAAAAATAAGTAACATTTGTATTCTTATTTTTTTCACATCTCCATGCTGATTTTATTAAAATATTACAAATATGCTTTCACTAAGGACAGCTAGCTCTAGTTTCTTTAGATTTTTTCAGGGACAACACTTTGTTATCAAAACATTATTTCTGCAATTCGACGTATTCTTAAACTTCATTCGAATCCTGCAAAAGTGGCATGTCAGCATCTCGCGAGGTTCCGCAAATATTACGTCATCGTTATCAAATTCCTGCCAAAGTGGTGTGTGCCTACGTGACTGACGAGCCTCCTGCGCGCAGGCGCCTGCGGCACCGGGCCGCAGGAATAATCGACGCCGCTTCCTGTCGAGCAGATCGATATTCGCAGAGACGGACTCTTATACAGTGAACGGCAAAAGTATGGAACAAATTCATTATTTTCTCAAAAAAATCCTTTTTTTTGGAGATTCGAATACACGGAAAAAAATGTTTTCTTAATGTAAGAATACCTTTATTCTTAAATTCACTTGATTTAAGTCGGAGACATATCCATTTTTTAAAGTAAGAAGACACCTCAAAATATAAACATTAATTTGCAAAAAACAATTTGATAGCTTTTGAAAGCCGTGTATGACAAGTCCAAGTATGGGATGATTCAACAAAACTGTCACTGTCATTCTCCATAGCCTATGGATGGACTATAGCAACCTTAGTTCTTCATACAGAAAAATATTGGAAATTGCAATGTTTTTTAAAAAAATCCATATTTTCCACAAAAATAAATATAACGAGGTGAACCAAAAACAAAACTGTTAAGAATAGATGTGACTTGATAAATAAAACTTAATTTAGAACAATATACGGTTTTGCCACTCTACAGAGTGTCTTAAACTTATGGTAAAAAACATCTTTTTGTTTAAACCTGTATATTATAAACGTACGTGTATTTTTTAGTAATTTTTTAAAATGTGAGCGATTGTCCATTAATTTATCTACAATATTCTTTAATATTCGTTTAAATCCGACATTAAATAAAAAAGTTATTTGCGATTGAAATTCATCGAAAATTTGTGTGGATCGATTATTTTGCACGTGAGTGTATTTATACGTATTAATTAAACCAAATGATATTCTTGAAACAAATTAGGTATTCTTATACAAAAAGAAAATGATATTCTTAAAAACCATACCTTTTAAACAAAGTTGTTGTATTTGGATTAAACAATACAATAATTATAAATCAAGCCTGTCTTCTCTTGAGTTTAGTGGCCCATCGGTTAAATCTAATTAAATTAATTTTAAAATCAGCGTATACCTTCAAGAAATTAAAAGTCTCCTGGCAAGAAAATATATTCTTGCGTATATATGTGAACTTACACTACTTGATTAAAGTGTATGGTACGGTTATATATATAACCGTACCATACACTTTAATCAAGTAGTGTAAGTTCACAATAAAAAATATTTTTTGTGTGTATACTTGAACTGAGATGATTAATCTTTAATATAGAATAACTTTTTTTCCGGGTGGGGCTACACAAAGGTTACATCAACAGATCACAAAATTTAGAAGACTTGAAAATCAAATTCGTGAAGAATGTCGATAATTTTTAAATCACGAACAATTTTTTTTATGAATTTGTTCCACACTTTTGGCGGTCACTGTATATGCTGCGACAAACCGATTACAACCAGGTGTTTGGGTATGCAGAGAAGGAGGAAGTGCTGCTTCCTTAGTATAGCTGCGTAGTTGGCACAGTTGGTCTGTGGTAGTTGTAGTTTAGGGTTTACGATGCTATGAAATTTTTATGAGCAAATTTGCAAGATTGTTTCAAAGTAGTTTTTATTATTATTTTAGAGTTTCTTTGTAGAAAGTAAGACTTTTGTAAAAAAATGTAATTCTCCTAATTTGTAAAAAAACATTTGAAAATAATGGGTCATAATTATTTTCAAATAAATAATTTATGACAACTTCATTAAGTATAAGTATCTATAAATAAATAGCAAAACTACTTATTTATAGATTATTTGCTGCTAATAAATATATAAACAACCGGGCATAATTTTTCTTAATGCAAAACAGTGCATTAAAATTTACAAACATCCTTTTCAAATAGTTATAAAGCATAATAAAACATTAAAATGTAAAGCCTTGAACTAAATTTTTGAGTAAACAAGTTTAATATTTATTTAATGGGCGTTTTAAAAAAACATTTCAAACAAATGTATTACATCGATGCGCAAAGAAAGCTGAAACGAATCCAACCAAATTAAAATATAGGTGTATATTTTTGAATCGATGGTACAACGTAGCCATCTGTGTTTGAGTAGTCGAACTAAAGGCATCGCCATACAGATAATATTATATTCAAGCAAAATTTGCTAAACTTAATTTTTTAAGTTTATTAAATTGTTTAATAACCGTTTTATAAAATAATGGGTACTCACCACCAAACTGTTGAGCTTTCTGAAAACAAAAATTGCATTAGTAAATATGTAATTTTTAATAAATAGCTTTAAAAAACAAAGTAAGAGATTTTTTAAATAATTTAATTTAATTTTTAATTAAACCTAATTATTTATTAGTAAATTATGTATCAAGTTTGATAAACTAGTTGCATCCTATACTTTTTCTACGACGAATATTATCTAAAAAATGATTTAAATTAAATATTTGTATAATGCGACATCTATACGAAAATAAAGAAACCATCCCAATAAACATTTTTGACGTAATTTTCACCATTGACATTGCCCGTTATTATTTTAATTAAACTTTACAATTATTGATACCTACTTTAAAATAACTTCAAAATATGATTAAGTTAAGAAAATATTTTATCCTTTGATTTTTTTTATTGCTATCATTGCAAAATATTATCACAAAGTGTTTTTTCTGTGTAAATCAAAATTTCACATTTAGACATTTGACAAAATTTGTCATTTAATGTCAACTAACTTAAAACTTCAGCCCGTGACTAAAAACCTGTTGCTAAACGGAAAAAAATGTTTTCTAAATGTGAGAAAACCTTTATTCTTAAAAAAATTCACTTGATTTAAGTATAATTTGCTTAGGCTACGAATACATTAAATTTCTTTTAAATATTAACCTATCCTTAAATTAAAAATATTTTATTTCTTAGCTTATATCATTCTTTAAACAAGCAGATCTTATTCTTGCCTGTTAAATATTAGACTTTAAATGAAATAATCCTATTCTTAATTCAAAATTAAAAATCGATTAGACCAAATTTTGGAAAATTCCCTTTATTCTGTTCTTAAAGATATATATAAAACTAAAACTGGATATAAATATATTTATTAGGCCTATTCTTAAAAGTATTCTTAATCCTAATTCTTAATATTTGGTTTGGACTGGAGCCGCTAAATTAGTATAATTTGATAGAATAACCACCAAATGTATGTGTAGGTAATAATTATTACATAATTATATTTATGTGTGTAGTATTAGGTATTGAATTTTAGTTGTTGGAGTGATATTAGGTTGGCCGAAGAATCACATGAAAAATAATTATGTATATTTTACCTCTAGATTATAGGTACGAATAAAATATATACAGTGTGTCCCGGAACATGAGATTATTTTAAAAGCAGTAAATTTTTCAAAAAAACGCTGAAACATGTTAACTTTGTTATTTTTCTAGCAATATTTTAGCCTATGTAGTTATTTCAAAATCTGCCGCGTGGGGGATCCACAATTAAAGTCAGTTTTTTTTAAATTACAAGCCTTTATTTTTGTTGCGTTTTTGGAAAGCTACCGTTGTCCTGATTACTTTGATGTACCACATCTGGAGATTTTTTAGAAAAGCAGGTTTTTGCCGCCGAATGATATTTTGTTAAACTTAAACCCAATCTATGCGTTCCATATTTTTGTGGGAAGCCAATCAGAGCAGCTGCAGTTTAAAAGGTAAAGAGTGAATTATCCTATCCATTTTTCTCTATTAGTCTTAGAAAAAAAGAGATAGCATAATCCACTCTTTACCTTTTAAAATAAACATGGTCATTATATCCTAACTTTTATTTAAAGTCGAGAAAAGTTAAAAAAAAATAGACAATATTTGAAACAATTATTGCTTAATAAATCCATAATTTAATCCAAAAGTAAATATTGTATCGCCAAGAATTATAACATTTGTATTAAAAAATACTTATTCTTAAATTAAGCATATATGCTATGCATAGTGTATATTTTATTTGAGGGTGCTTGCATTTAAAATAATATGATAGTTTTTCTTGAAATAAGAATAAGTTTACCCTTGCACCTAACATTGAAATTATATCCAAATAAGTATTATACTTATAATAATTATACCTATAATAGGTTAGTTCTTGCATTCAACTCCCTATATCCTTTAAATAAGTATTAATTTAAATTACAAATAGGAATAAATCAATCCTTAAACAAAAAGTATTTATACTTGCGGAATGGTGAGATGAACATACACTGAAATGATTAATTAATTATATTCTTTATTATAGAATAGCTTTTTTTCCTTGTAACTTCAGCCCATGACTAAAGCGCCATAAATCCACAACTTGTCAATGTGTATTTAAAAGGTCACTTAGTGTCATGGAAACATGTACGATAATGGGCGTTTTAAAGGTGTAAGTAAAAAAAATATTATCAGTTAGATAAGGAATAACAAAATTATGACAAAAACAGTCAATTACAACACGTGTCATTTATTTATCTAAATTACAAACAACATATTAAATCAAACGTTTATTGGATAATTATGCAAATATCAGTTTTTAAGGTTATATTCGCGAATTTTATAGCTTAAATATTTCCGCATTATTTAATAAAATGCAAAACATAAAAAATAATAATAAATATTTTTTAAGCAATATTTACTTCTTAATTAGCGTTCAAATTTTCTAATTGCCTATCTATATTTAGAACTGTTTACGTCCATCAAACACAATTGGTTAAAATTGGAATTGTTCAGTTGGTAGTACGCATAGCAAGGTCAATTTGGATGTATCATCATAGGCGAAAATTACTTAGATTGGAAAATTATAAAATGATTCCAATTCAGGAGACTGCATGTCCCATTGTGAATGAAAAATGAGAGGTAACTAGTTTACTGCAAAAATAATTTGGCTCAAACTTTCCAGTCCCAAAATTAAACAATATATTTGTAATAAAAATACTAAAGCGTTGTAAAAAGTAATGAAGACAGCCCCAGAAATATATACAGGGTGTTTTTGTACAGAAAAGGTTTAAACTGTTATAAGAAAATTCGCTTTGAAAATTTTTGGGTGTGTAATGAAGTTGAGCGATGATGAAGATGGAGATAGGTATTTTTTTTTTTTTTTAAATTTGACATATTGATGGTCTTACTAATATGTCTGTATTACCACTAATTGTAATGTTAAAAAGATTTTGGTGTACTTGTTAACTAAGGAGCACTCTATCAAAAGCCATTAATAGTATTTCAAAATTTTATACAGGGTGTCTGGTATTTACGTTGACTTTTTTGTTACTTTAAATACCAATAACTTTCTTACTTACTACCATACGATTTTCACATTAAAAATATTTCGAAAAAGGTTAAAAATTATTCAGCAATATTTTTTTTATTTTTGATTTTTTTAACTGCGTAACAGAACTTCCGTTTATAACTGTGAATTTCTTACATTTTGGTTGTTGCTGTGGTTGTTAATTTGAGCAAATTTTCTAATTCCCGAAGCCTCTAGGCTGGCCACATCCAGCGAATAACTCCTAGGTTTCACATATGGAAAATCCTCCTTACTTTTGCTTTTCATCCACCGAAAATACTGCGACATTTTCACCAAACACTGGTTCACATTTTTACGCGACGTTTCGGTATTTTAATTTCGATGAACTTTGGCTACGATGAAACATTGTTTCGCCTGAATTAAACATGGACACCTAACGTCAATGGTAGTTTTTCGTTTTTACAACTATAATTAGTGTTTCAAGATTACAAGCAATTTTTTCCCTACAGAAATTATCATCTAAAAATAACTTTAAGTTTATAATTATATTTATACTGCAATTTTATGAAAATTTTAACAACAGCGTCAGTATTAAATATTTACCTGATTTCTTAAAGCAAACATTAATTTTAGCAGAAAAATGCCATAAATAAAAAACTTGGAAAAATAAAAAATTATTTATAACAGTGTAATAGTATATTATGTATCAAGTATCATTTTATACACGAATTTAATTTAGACACGAGCGAACTTGCGAGTGCTTAAGTTAATGAGTGTATAGAAAAGTTTATAAACGAGGTGCATACTATACTTTTTCTACGACAAATAGGTACTTATTATTATCTTAAAATGATTTAAATCAAAAATTTATTTAGAGCGCCATCTATAAAACAACAGGGGAAACTGTCAAATGTCACATTTTTACATTTTATAAACTCAATTATAAAGGTTATAAATCGAAATGTATCTTGAAAATTGACAGTTTTTCACAGTGAAAGTAAAGGAAATGTTTTATGAGGACTTTACAGTAGAGTCCGTGCCCGAATTTAAGTTATAGTTTACTGCCCGCGCAATTAAAAGGTCAGTACAATGTTCATATAAACTTTTCAAATATTGGCGTTGAGAAACTATTTAATATTTTTGTATTTTTGTATTGAGATAATAAAATAATTTTCACATTTAGTATTATTTTACAAGAAAGGCACTTTATTTTAACGATTGTATGACATTTGACAACTGTCAACTAACTTAAAACTAACTTCAGCCCGTGACTAAAAACCTGTTGTCAACTTCAGCCCGTGACTAAAGCGCCGTAAAGCCACAACTTGTCAATGTGTAATTAAAAGGTCACTTAGTGTCATGGAAACATGTACGATAAAGGGCGTTTTAAAGGTGGGAGTAGAAAAAATTATTTATTTCGTTCAAAATGTCTTTATTCAAAAGATAAACGCTTTGATATTGAATAATAAGGTTTTTTATTATTTTTTTTTACAAAATACGTAAAGTATTTGTCATAATTATTGCAACAACTGTAAAAAAATCTAAATCTAAAATGTATTTATTAATCTTTATGAAATTTTGGATGGTTTACGTGTTCGAGGGTTTATTTAATAATAAAAAAGTTCGAAAAATAACTTTTAGGATTTTTTTTAAGTAAAAAAATATGCTGTTAAAGACCGTATTTTTGTTAGTATACCCTAAAAATTTTGTACAAATCAAACGAACAGTTACGAAGATACAGCGCTTCAAAGTCGGTAAAAATGGCCCCTTTTTGATTATTTTGCTGAAAAGAGGTCATTTTTGACGACTGAATATCTGTAGCTTCCTTACTGTTCATTTGATTTCTAGAAAAAAAAATTTAGTTTTTTTTAGTTGTTGCAATAATTATGTATATATTAAACAAGCATTTAAGCCTATGAATCGAGAGTCCTTGTGACACATAATTTTCCCATTACGAGAAATTTTTTCGAAAATTCAAACACA